AATTCCTGAATGTCTTAATTTTTGTTTTATGTGTTTCAACTTCTATTGTGCTCTTTTTCTTTATACTTAATGTGAAAATGCCTCTTGTCCACTTGTCTGGCAGGCAGATTTGCTCTTGGCACCGGGAGTAGGTTTCACTACTCTGCCTAACCTGAACGCAGCCCGAAGCCTCCTGAGCTGGCATACATTTGAAAGCTGAACAAATAGAATAAAAATTAATAACTAACAGTGCGCACGTACGGACATTTGTACAGTCTTACGCATACACAAAGGGAGCATACAGGTACACACACACCAGGACTTTACTGTAGACCATGAGATAGTCAGCAACTTTGCAGCACTTTGAGACTTTTCTACTTATCATTGCGTGACAGTACATGAAAGACATGTCACTGAGTGACAACCACGAGTCATATCCATGTTAAAGTACCGGCTGAGTGAGTGTGAAGACAGCTCAGTCTTGACATTACTCTATGGGGATCTTTCTTTCATAAGACACAGCTGGTTGTCTCAGTGAGCATTCTCTGCCAACATGGTTGAATATTTCAGACTGTGCATGCCACGGGAACACCACTTAAAACAAAGTAGAATCCCTGAGTAACTCACTGAAAGCTAGAGAGAACTAAAGACAGAAGGCCCAAATGAGGGGATATTGGAGCTATGTGCCCAATATTGACTTGATTAAAGAGATTCTCTGGTACATTTGTATCCTTTTTAGCCAGTAACGTAGTTCTGAAAGTAGCACTTACGGTGCCCAGAAATTGCGTACTATGTCACATATACATTTTTACATTTGTGATTTTAGTCATTTAGCAGACGCTCTTAGCCAGAGCGACTTAATAAGTGCATCGACAACATCTTCCCCACAGTGACCGTACGTACATATCACTAAGGAATTATCATGGTCCACACACACATATACAGTCATAAAGACTTTCTGCAGCTGCACCATTGAGAGCATCTTGTATGACAACTGCTTGATAGCCAACTGCAAGGCGCTACAGAGGGTAATGCGTACGCCCCAGTACGTCACTGGGGCCGAGCTCCCTGCCTTCCAGGACCTCTATACCAGGCGGTGTCAGAGGAAGGCCCAAAAAGTTGTGAAAGACTCCCAAGTCCTAGACTGTTCTATCTGCTACCGCACGACAAGCGGTACCGATGCAGCAAGTCTGGAACCAACAGGACCCTGAACAGATTCTACCCTCAAGCTATAAGACTGCTAAATAGTTAGTCCAGGTAGCTATTGGTTAACTATCCGCATTCACCCTTTTTACACTACCTCTTTTGACTGCTGCTAGTGTTTATTATCTATCCTGTTGCCTAGTCACTTTATCCCTACCTACAGTATATGTACATATCTACCTCAATTACCTCGTACCCCTCCACATCGACTCGGTACTGGTACCCCGTGTATATAGCCAAGTTTTCGTTACTCATTGTGTATTTATTCCTAGTGTTATTATTTTTCTATGATTTCTCTTTTTTCTCTCTGCATTGTTGAGAAGGGCCCGTAAGTAAGCATGTCACTGTTAGTCTACACCTGTTGTTTACGAAGCATGTGACAAATAACATTTTATTTCATTTTGATTACAGGTTGCGTTTTGTAAAGCCTATTCAGGTAATCAAGTATATTTATGTTTCATGTGTCCATTCATGTATTCATATTGTGTAATTTGTCTAGTTGATCATATTGCGTTTATTAGTATTTAGAAATGTAACTTAGATGTAATGGGAAACGTCATGTGTATAAGCATGTGAATGTAATGGACTTTGAGTGGATACAAGAAAGAAGAATTCGGCCTTGAGCTGAGCCTCTAGTGCCTGAAGCGATAAGGAATCAGCAGCAAATCACTCCTTTGTGCGGTATGTGTCGTGTACTGGACAGCTATGGAAAATTGCGAGTTGTGCGGGAGTCATGTGCTGGGTGGGAAAGTATATTAGAGCTTTCTGTAACATTTAGATTTGGTGCATTTGCTTATGATACCCTTGGTGAATAAACGTTTGAAAGTCACAGAGAGCACTTTTGACTCTTGTTCTATTAAGAGGAACAGTATTAGAAATGGAGAACAAAAGTTATCATTTAATCAAGGGGCAATTAGAGTTAAGTGCCTTGCTCAAGGGTACAGACATATTTTTCACCTAGTTGTCTCTGGGATTTGAACCAGCAACCTTTCGGTTACTGGCCCACCGCTCTTAACCAGTAGGTTACCTGTATAGGTGCAGATATGTGCACCATGTCATTGCTCTCACTCTGCTCCGTGTGAATCTTGCCAGCTGTCACTCAAATGACAAGGGGCTGAAGCTCATTGGCTTGAACTTGAATTGCTAGGAGGCTGACCCATATGGATGAACATTTTGGGGAAATGGCACCGCAAAGGTTCCAGAAAACAGTCGCTTTCAAACTAGGGATTTCGTGGCTAACTGACAGTAATTCTGGTCATAGATTATTCATGTATGAGGTACACATTGAAACTTCCAGCTCAAAGCGGGAGGTTTAAAAAATCCTTACCAGTCATCAAAGTTTCTGAAACATGTTTTAAAGAGCCATCCCTATATGGCGTCTAAAACCTTCCCAAAAAGTCTACAGAGATTGATCAACATTGTTCAACTCCAAATGCACTCACACACAAATATGCTTGCTTCAGCTGTTTAAAGGGGCAATCTGCATTTAAAACAATAACAAAGTAGACACACCGCCACAGTTTTCATAAACAGCTGAGGAATGGGGCCGGAGAAATATAACCACTCTCAAATTCATAGACGGGGCTATGAATGCAAGGACTGACCATCCATGAAATCAAAATGATAGTTGAGGCTTTACAGTGTTTGTTTACAATTAAATTGTTTACAAACAGTGGAGTAAAACAAGCTTATATGTTGGGTTCTGATGGGGTACGACAGGCATTTATAAGTTATATTCTCCAAGAATCAATAGGTATATATCATTAATTCAAAATAAAACATTTGGGTGTAGCAATCGCATATTGCTGCTAATAGTATTTATATATAGTATTATATAGTATATTTTATGTAGGAGTTGTTGTAGTACTAATAGTGACAGCAATGACGATAGTAGTAGAAAGGTCACGGAGGACCCATCAGCTACAGTAGTAGCCTACAGAAAAGGGGATATAGAATAGAGCCCCCTACCTTTGAGGTCCAGGTTGCGGGCTCCATTGGAGTGCTGGGTGACGGTGCGGGAGTCGATCTTGAGCGTGTGCACATTGTTGGCATCCCGGGAGACCACCACGTTGTGCCACTGGTTGTCGTTGAGCGGCTTGTCCGAGTTACCCTTCATCAGCGACGGGCCGTTGCCGAGGTCAAAGACATAATGGACGTAGCTATAAGCACAGATTGGAAGAGACTTTTAGGAAATAACTGTAGGTGTGTGTGTGTGTGTGTGTGTATATGAGACAGAAATAAAGAATGAAAGGGACAAAAGGGAAAAGGTGCTTCAAATGGGAAAATATTTATATCAATAACACCTCATCCGTCACAGTCAGTTTGACCAAACTAAAATCAAAATGTTACCCACAGAACATAGCTCTTCGAAAGAGGTATAAACCAGACAAAGCCAGATCTAGCCCAGCAAGCTGAATAATTTTGTGTTTGGCTCTTTTGAAAAATGACCCCAAGTTTCTTCAGTCAAAGACGACTCCATAAAGGTTCAGTACTTTCAGGATAGTTAAGGCTGTTCAATGGACGAGGCCAGAGTCCAAGGCGGCAGGGTGAGTCGGTCTCACTCCAACCCAGGTTATATATAAACAGCAGTCTTTTCACTCAGCCCCTGGTGCCTATCTTGGACCTATTATAAAGGGGATGGGGGGGAAGAAAGAGAAAAGACTGCTCTCTCTCGCTCTTTCTTTGGTCGAAGGAGAGGGTGGTGTAGGATTGAAGTGCGCCGGACCTCCAGCTGTGGAACGGCAAGCTGCAGAGCAGAAAATTGCCCAAGCTCACATAATGTACAGCCGCTCAGAAATTCTATTCTTCGTCTATTTTAGGTTTTGAAATGTACAGAACAATTTTATTTTCTTCTCAGAAGCTCTGAATATAACTTTCCCCTTCCATTTGCCAGAGGCAGACACGATGGCATGTTTCGTTCATGCGCAAAATGATTTCCTTTTGTATCGTCTGGTGGTGACTAGTTTGCAAGAGCAATGTCTATCGAATGTGTTTATTCCTGCTCTGCCTTGTCTTTGTGTGTGCTGAAAGAGATGGTTGGAGTCCTTGTGTCATTACAATGTCAGGTGGGGAGGAAGAGGGGCAGGGAGATACATGCATCATAACAAGCATTTTTCATAATATAATATGCCATTTAGCAGACACTTTTATCCAAAGCAACTTACAGTCATGTGTGCATACATTTTTACGTATGGGTGGTCCCAGGGATCGAACCCACTACCCTGGCTTTACAAGCGCCATGCTCTACCAATTGAGCTACAGAGGACCATATCTGATGGATGAATGGATGAAAAGCCTGGCGATAGCAGGTAATATAACACTGTTCAGACTGGTGCTATTTCAGGTGTCCCATTATTCAAGACTGCATTCAGAGTTTTAAACAACTAAATTATATTTTTTTCAGAACAAATCAATTGTTTTTGTTCAGTCAACATCTATGGGGCATATGGATTGTGTGTACAGCTGGGAAGGCATCTGATATTTACAATGAAGAAAGTGGAATATTTTCTCCACCTTCTGTTTCCTCCCGATAATAAAAACCTGTTCTGGGCATTCAACAGAGCCATAAACCAAAATGATTAATATTGCTCACTGAGAAATAGAGTGAACTGCCTCCAACCAGCATAGATTCATGGAATTGTAGAAAACAAACATATCTTAGTGGAACTTATATAGGACATGTACATCTACATAATTTGTTATGTTTTCATTATCATATAATTAAGATATGCCCACATGGTATACGCCATGTGGGTACAATAAGCAAAACCACATTACGATTTTCAGGGTAAGCTAACATGTCAACACCTATATTTATGTCAACACCAATCAAACGTCCAGACCCACCCTTTGACCAGCTCCACAACGATAAAGTCGCTGCCATCCCCCGAGTTGAAGAGCAGCAGACCGTCCGATGTGGTGGTCTTGAACTGGAAGAAGAGGTGCATGGAGGCATAGGCCTGCAAAGTAGCCAACGCTAGATAGCTCGCTTTCGTTCTAAACGTCACCGGATCGGCGATGATGTGGCGCATGCCAAAGCGGGCGTTGAGTTCGCAGTAGGAGATGTCGCCGTTCTTGCACTGGTCCAGGTAGGGCACGCCGTTGACCGTCAAGCCCTGGAGGTGACCGATGAAGTTGGAGGGCACCACAGAGATGAAGCGGCGCTCGGTCATGATGCCCGTCTCAATGTTGTGGAACTCCAGCCGCGTGTGGGCACCCGTCATCTGGCCTGAAGGGTGAAGGAGGACATGGAAATATGTTATATTATAGGCATGGAGCTTTCTTAACCATGTGGCCTGATCAGGAAAAGCTTTAGACACTGGTTATGAAAGAATGGGATGGACTATATAGAGCAAGCTAAAACATGAGGATGATAAAATTACTTTAAAAAAGAGGCTAAAAGCTTCTAACTTAAGTGCAAACCAATCTTCTACTACACTGAACAAAAATATAAATGCAGCAATTTCAAAGATTGTACTGAGTTACAGTTCATATAAGGAAATCAGTCAATTGAAATAAATGCATTATGCCCTAATCTATGGAGTTCACATTACATTTTAGTCGACGCTCTTAACCAGAGCGTCTTACAGGAGCAATTAGGTTTAAGTGCCTTGCTCAAGAACCTTTCGGTTACTGGCACAAGGCTCTTAACCACTAAGCTACCTGCCGCCCCTCATGACTGGGAATACAGATATGCATCTGTTGGTCACAGAGTAGTTGCTGGATTTTGCCCTTTTCCTCCTTATGCTAGCTAGCAGTAGCCACATCAGCAATTATGGAATGGCAAGTTGCGTTGAACAACAAAGGAGCTGATTGGCTGACACTGCCATTCCACAATGGCTGCGGTGGCTACTGCTAGCTAGCATGAGGACAGAAAGGGCAGTTTTCCCAGAAAACTAGCAGTATTCCAATCTTCTCGATGTATCAGTGTGGATAAAGGTACAAATTGGAGTACAGTGCATATCTCATCCCTGCATTGAGGTAGGTTTTCCGACCCATATCTCGTGCCGGCTACATGGTGTCTTAATGTAGCCATGAATGCCTTCCAACCCCAGTGCAGCTCAGTGTAAACAAGTGTAACGGTAGGGTCGGTATCTTTTGGCAAGGTCTGAGTGAACGTCTGGCCTGAATTAGGACCTGATGAGGGGTGTGGCCAATTACCTCCTACATTCTTCAATGCCCGAGCTAGTAACACCCAATTAATCAACTGTGGGGATGCAGATACAGCCCTTCTAATAAACAATCTATACAGACAACAATTAAAACATTGGGGACATAAAAAAAGGCATGTTATGAAGACTGGCATCTTCACAGGATGCTATAGTCTATGTAGGGCTTCAATTGGGAAGGAGTTCCATATCTTCAGATATGGTCATTAACCACCCTGTGTAATATGTCATATATTTAATTGATAAAATTGTATAAGGCTTGGATTGGGCAGTAACACAGATAATAGGGGTTCCATAATATGAATATCTAGCTACATAAACTTGTTATGAGCCCAGCTTCCACTACACCTATAGTATTCCAATCTATCCCTTGGTGATGATGTTGTTGCTTCCTGGAATTGAGCAGGAATGAGCTTGGCCAAGCACTTTATAAAAAATACCTTAGTCCTAAACATGGTCAGCCCAGAGGCCTTCTCTGGGTGGTTTGTGTCCACCAGAAACCGGCAATTTTAGCTCTATCTTCACAGGGTCATTTATAGCCCCAGGTTTCATCATATCTTGCATTCCTCTCACCTCTCACCCCCCATCCCTCTATCCCTCCATTCTATCCCCAAGGGGTGGTGGCGAACAGTGGCGAGTGGACACTGACCTTCTGCCATCCCACTATCCCTCCATCTCTCCATCCCCAGCCCAAGACTCATCATGCCCCCTCTCTTAATCCCTCCTCTCACCCATCTAACACCCCCTCCATCCCTCCATCCTATCACCCAAGGGTGGAAGAGGTGGAGGCGAACAGTGGAGAGTGGACACTGACCTTCCACCGTGACGTTGTCCACAGACAGCTGGAAGTTCTTTCCTCGGCGCACCACTTTCACCATGTGCCACTCGTTGTCGTTGAGCTTCTGGCCAGCGAAGAGCGTTTCAGGTCCTTTACCTAGAGGGGAAGAGCTAGGGTCACCTACCCAGAAAGGATGTTGATACAGTGTCGCAGCAACTATCAGCCACTAGAGTCCACAGGGAAGATACTATACGGCTAATGGAGAAAACCTGCATGTTTATCCCACACAAACACACAGTACAGTCACACACACACACACACATAAATACATACATAAAGTAGTATCATACAAGAAGGCATACCGTGCCATGTCTGTCACTAAGTGCACAAAGGTAATATAAAAAAATATATATGTGAATAAAAAATAACAGAGACAGACTCAAAAACAGACAACCCAACCTTGGAATAATACAGTAACAGCAGGATGCCAAAGACAAAGCAAAAGGGTAGCTAGGTGTTACAGTGCTACTTATTGAACAAGCCTTTCATGGTAAAGTAAGGATTCAGCCTACAACTGCCATGGACAGCCGAGATGAGTGGTATAACTATTTTATAGCTATCGCCTGTAGGACTCTGTACTAGTGGAGCTGTGTAATTGACGTCTGCATATTAGGACTTTGCCATAGGACTCTTTGCCAGAATGGGTAGAGAAAGCGGGGGATCAGACTGCATTGGATCTGCCTCTCCTCTCCTCGGTCACTCCCCCCTCTTCTTCTCCGTCCACGGTCTCGCTTCTACTGGCACAGGAGACAAACTGTTTGACGCAGCAACATATGGCTGTGGGAGAAATGCTTATTAAAGACATATTTACTGTAGTGGCTTCTTTCCTCTCTCTCTCACCAACTGAGCCTCGGTGCGATTTATAGTTTTTCCAATTAAACAGACCAATTATATAAAGTGTGGCAGGGAATGAGTGAGTGACGGTGTGAACGAGTATGGGTTTTTGATGAAGGCAGCAGAACTGAATCCGTCTGTCATTGAGGTGTATTATGGCGAATCGGCACGAATCGCCTTCGGATGAGCAAAGTCATGGTGACGGCTAATGCTAATTGCGCTAGCGATAACAGTGCTCCGTTTACACATTCGAAGCATAAAAAGGAATCTACTAAAAAGGGCAATACATTGAAAACTAACCAACAGAAAGTGGAAAATAATTACTGGCTACGCTACACAATAGCACAGCCTAAGAGGCTAAAACAAAAGGCTGTCCCTGACGATGGTTGACTCGCAGTACGTCACAGTGGCATTCAGCGAGGCAAAGAATGGTGATTATGAGGGAAAATAATGGGTCTGTAAACATAGCCATAATGAGGGAGTCTTCCACTTCACTGCCTGGTGGAACCAGCCCTGAAATAGTACAGTGCCCTGAGGAAGCCAGTACCTTCCATTAACCTTTTACACTCGTATATGGGTTGAAATATGGCATATTTGTGCACTGATAAGTGCCTAAATTGGAACGCAGTGGTAATTACATTTTACATTTGAGTCATTTAGCAGACGCTCTTATCCTGAGCGACTTACAGTTAGTGAGTGCATACATTTTTCATACTATATAGTCCAGAACAGTACAGTCTATTCTCAAATGAATGGGTGGGGAACATGACAGCAACTGTGTACTATATTGTAGTAAATACGGATCAAAACTCACATTTGAAATAGGGGTAATATACTGTAGAATCAAATAAGGAACCTTATCATTTAATTGTATCTATCAATGAAAGAAGGATGGGATGGCAAACCAGTGGGAGGCTACGTCTCAAATGGCACCCTATTCCCTGTATAGTGCACAACGTTTGACCAGAGCCCTATGGGTAGTGTGCTGAATAGGGTGCCATTTGAGACGTAGCCTCCCACTGGTTTACCATCCCATCCTTATTTTATTGATAGATACAATTAAATGATAAGGTTCCTTATTTGATTATACAGTATATTACCCCTATTTCAAATGTGAGTAATGACGTCAGAGCTCAGGGTCTCCACTTCACAGCTCTGTATGGGTTTTGACTGACAGCTGTTCAGAACTTGAGCACCGCATGCAATAAGAAGTTGCCCCCATCCCACCTGCTAATTGTCTGAGTGAGGAACACGCTGTATATTAAGAGGACTCTATGTATTTTGAAAGATGAGACGTTGAGGATTATAATAAATAACACTTTGATGTCATACAAGCAAGTCAAACACCCATAGGTCCAAATGTGCACTTCACATTTCCACATCATAAAACTCCTGTCATATACAGTGTCAACATTTATGATTACTATGTTTGTTGCAGTTACAAGGGCGGCAGGTAGCTTAGTGGTTGGGAGCGTAGTGCCAGTAACCGAAAGGTCGCTGGTTCTAATCCCCGAGCCGACTAGGTGAAAAATCTGTCGATGTGCCCTTGAGCAAGGCACTTAACCCTAATTGCTCATGTAAATCGCTCTGGATTAGAGCGTCTGCAAAAAAAAAAAAAGACGAAATGACTGACAAGATGGCATGGCGTCATACCCTGGGTTGTTCTGAACAGAATGAGCCTATGTTTGTGTATTGTGAAGAAAATTGCAGCAGAAAATGCACTCATGACTCCTTTCTATGCACACCAAAATTACGATCTGTTTCCCTGAATTGCCCTGTGAATCCCTAACACTGTAAGATCATAGTTTATAAATTAGCATGTTGGCAATAGAACAAGCTTTCAAATGATGCCCACCTGGCCCAGATTGCTATTTATAATGGGACAGATTTGGATTACGTAAACAACAACAGTAATTGTGTGATGGAGGGTATGCAGGGCTGTCTTCCAAACAAAACTACTGTTTTGTGTGCTTGCTCTAGTTCCTCAACGGCACAGCTAGGAAAGCTGAAAAAAAGCACCTTATAGTTGAAGACTCTTCTTTGAGTCATAAAAGTGCATTGAAATGACTTAGGAGATGTGCATACTTTGGAGAGGTGTGTGGCCACTTGGAGACACCTGTTAGTCCTCTCACTCTTCTTATATTGCACCTACCCCACATTTTCCAGGAATATTCTTATTATGTTACTGAATGTATCCAGTGTATTTTCAGTTTTTGTTCAATAAATGCGGCAAAAAGTACAGTACATGTAAAATGCACATCAAATCAACAGTGTAATGTTTGGATTCAGTCTTGTGTCAGGTAAACTGTTGTGTACTCAAATGTGTGGCACACACACACACACACACACACACACACACACACACAGGAGAACCGTTTTCGTTTTTACTGTTGTTACCTTCTTCCCTGGATTTTTGTCTTGAGCCACACAAAATTGGATAGAGAGACGTTTAATCACACGTGTGAAGTTAATATGAGGCAAAGTCCCCTATTGCAGAGAGAAGGAACGAGAGAGAGAGAGAATAAGAGAGAGAGAGAAAGAGAGAGAGAGAGAGAGAGGAGAACGAGTTTAAGATAAACTTCTAGAAGGAGAGAGACAGAGAGCTTGCGAAAGAGAGAACGGGAGAGAGCGAGAGAGAGACAAAGGAAAAATAGAGTTTGATGTACAACCAGAGAGCCCTTTCGGAGCCTCTAGAGCAGGCAGAATAAATGGGAAATGGTTCCCCTGGGATAGAGTCCATGTGTTATTTATCTGCCACGGCCACAAGAGGCCATAAGAGAGCATGCGGGCTAATTCTAAGGAGCAACAGAGGACACATCAGGCCATAACAGCAGTAACAATGAAGGCCTCAGCGTGCCTGCTGCCCTGGGGGAACATCAAACGAGGTTTGGGGGCAGATAACAGTGCAATTGGCCATATTAGCTTAAAGATAATACACTGTAACATTACTGTAGCTCATAAGCAGCTAATAGGTTATCCAATGCCTTATTAGCTTGGAGCTAATACACTGTAAAAGCATGTAACGCTAGTACAGCTAGCTAGCAGCTAATGGGTGCTTCAATCCCCATAATGCTAGGCCTCTGCCACCTTCTGCTTACCCAACTGACCGGCTAATTGGGCCATATTAGCTAGAAGCTACTACACTAGCTAGCTAGCTAATAGCTTATGGGCACTTCAATCCACATTTCATTGCTTTTGCTCTACCACCTGCCTCCTGCCTAACTGGCAGGCTGCTTTAATGCTGATGTTTGGCCATCTTCTAATGGCCAGGTAATGAAGATAGGGAACAGGCTAGCGGAGGAGGGCTTAGTGCTAAATGAGTCTGTAAGCCACTTTAATGCTGCCCTGTCAGCCTCTGTAGAAACAGGGGCCAGACTAATCATTAATAAGAGCAACGATATTAAAATGCAATTAATTCTCATTGCGATGCCGCTTTCCCTTTTCGCCGCTCTCCCTTTGTCACCGGGATCAATGAGAGAACGCCTCTGATCATATAAACAAAGGATGTAATTCTCTCACTCATTCTCTCACTTGTTCTCTCATTCATTCCCTCTTCTTTTATCTCACACTCCATCACTCTGTCCCCCATATTGTCTGTCCTCAAGGTAGACAGTGGAATCTTTGGTGTTTCAGTTGGTAGAGGAACTTCCAGTTTTAGCCATCTGGTTTAATGTGGATGTCATTGACTGTGTGGAGGACCCATGAGCAGGATGGATGAGATGTGTTACACTCACCAGCTGTTTCCCAATTAACAATAGTTGATTCATCAATTATCACAGTGTTTCTATGTAAATACCCTTGATTAATGCAATCGATGAACACACCCATTCAATCAGTGGCTTTGGATTGCAATGCAGTGCTTCATTCCCACAAGTTAACTCTGGGTCTAGAGACCGGCTAGGAGAAGTAAAGCTCTCCATTTTGGCTCGACCACAAGGGCTTGGAGAGATGGGTGTATTGTGATCCACATTGGACCCAATGTCACAGTTTCTCCCAAACACATTTACCCATTCTTCAGCCACAACACTGTTGACAACAGCGGAACTAAGAGTCTCTACACAGACCTTCCAGACCCAAAGTCTCATCTCAGTCTCACAAGTTTACTCGTTTGAGAAACTAGGCCATGGCGTTGCACAGCCACCTCTACCATGTAACAGCGAATTAACCGTTGGCAGCGCCACATCACTAAGCGGGAGGAATCGTAATGTGGCTGGGAGTCTAATTGGGCCGCAGCAAAGCATTGTGGGCCACCTCGGCGCGCGAACAGCCAGTCTCTGAGAGAAA